TGCCTGAAATTCACCAGACAATACGAAATCGCACAAAGCAGTTACTTACCTATCCTGCCATAAATGGGCCCATCCAATGGCGACAAGCATGCAGAATCCCATGCTAGGAAGATACAGGACACGCTCGGCAATAACAAATCCAACGTAGAACAACAGGTTAGAAGCTGGCAAAAATGTAACAGTAGACAAAAACAGAGCCTAGAAAAACACGTTTTGTCTGCTCAATTCAAAGTAACAGTTCTTGAGTGTCTGTTCTAATAATTACGTCTATCTATACGTACGTCTTTCTATGGACGTAGAGTTAAAAATGATCAAAAAAGTTTAACAAAAAATATCGATATAGTATATAGATTACAAAATTATACATAATACGATTTTTAATGTTCATAACTTATTTTATTCTTACGAACATTCTAGATTATAAAACTTGACTAGTGAAACAAAACAATACAGATAAAAAGACTAAAACTCATAACACACCTCAATCTAACTTTCTATCTTACCATAAGTAATGGAACTCTCTGGCTATCTTCTGAAAGCCAAGAGCTACGCAACAAAACAACCAAGACGACACATAAGCACAAAGTGGAAATGTTCCTTGGATCTCCTACTGATGTTATTAATGTGATAGTACCCATGGTCCAATCACAGCAAAGATCACAAGGAAAAAGTAGAAGCCAGGCATTTACAGACACCAGATAGCTGAATGTTAGCTGTCGAGTTGGGAATGGAGAAACAGAAGCCGGGTTGTCAAACCTATTATGATAATAAAACCTAACTAAAAATTGTCTCTGAATGATTAAACAGCTAAAATAATTATATACAAGTTTTTATTATGAAATATATATGTTCCATAAATAAAAGTTTTATATAAGGTTTTAGCTAGATATGAAAGTACTTTACCCAATACTTTATTTTCACACGTGTGTTTCGTAAAAAGAAAATTGACTATCTTATATTTCAAAACTTTGTTTATGTAAAACAGGACGTCACATATATTTGTTTTAACGTGTGTTACGTAAAAAAGGTTTTTCACAACCTTTTAATATCTATGTCACATAAAAAGTTTTACGTAAGCTTTATTTGTACACTTGTGGTACAATAAATGCGGATACATAAACTTAAATTTTAACACAGTTTTTAAATAAATTAAACGAAAATGGGTGTTTCTTAATTTCAATTTTGACTGACGGTTGTATCTTTTTTTTTTTTTAAAGTAAAAACAGTTCATTAAAGCAACTCTTGTCGGAATAAAGCAATATAATTATGGTTTTCTAATATTAAAATGATAATATTTTATTAGTTTTTAATTGCAATTAGAATGCTTCCAACAAGGAAGCCACTATTATAATATAATTAATTGCATTAAGTTTATTACAATCAAAAACATAAATAACAAGGTATTCACTTAATATTTCCATGTAATTATCTAATGCTAAAATTTAGGGCGAATGAAACTCTCAGAACGTTAAGAATTAGATCATATTTCATAAGAACTTGAAATTAAAACTCAAACTTTTAGATAGAACATTTTTATTATATTAGTTTGATGAGTCGATGGAGTTAAAAATCATTATCATTTGCTTTAATGTTATGTCCAAGCTATGATTCGTAGTGAATAGTAGAATTTATATAAAAAAAAATTCTATATTACGCTTGACATAAGAAAAAGTCTAAACTTAGACTGATTGTTCACCCTTAATTGCAAAAAGCTAATGTGATGTTTGTTGAAATGAGGCTAAGTAAAATGATAAAAACCAACTGTACAAATGTACTTCCTTACAACTTCTGTGTTACTTTCAATTAATCCAAATCATTCAGAACTGTCCAACACGATCATAACGAAATTACTGCATGATTTAACAGAACTATTTGATAAATTTAACTGAGTAGAAAGTTTACAATTTATAATTTAGTCTAGTTTTTAATTCGGTTTAAAAGTGAGCGTAAACGCTATCAATCTTGAGAAAATAAACCATTTAATAGGTTTATAATTGAGACAGATAAGATAGCAATACGTGTCAAGGGGACCATCCAACTTACTCCTACAAATGTCGTGGAAAGCTTCCCCCTACTCCTGATGATCCCTCTTCAGTCGCACCTGTTAGTACTACTGATATCCTTACACCACCATCAAACCCTGTTCTACCCCCCACCTACTATTGAAGAACTACACTGTTTTTTCACCATCCATTCCATCGTCCTTCCATTCTGGATAGCATAAACTATGATGCAAATACCGTGTTTCAAATTCAACTCCAGGCCTCAATTCTCATTTCATTTTTCGTCGCCTATGGGACCAAGCACCATCTGGTTGAGTCGCGACAGAATGATAAACATCCTCTTCCTTAACATTCGTTCCTTTTTCACCAATAAGCTTTTACTCACACCTCTTTTCCAGGAGACTGCTTACGATTGTGTAGTGCTCAATGAAACTTTCCTGAAACCTTCTCAAGTTGCTAAGTTATCTGGTTTTCACTTTCATCGGCATGATCATCCCCGAGGAGTAGGTCGAGGAGGTGTAGCAATACGCAGTCGAGCTACTCTTCCTTTACGCCCCCATATTCTTCCACCGAATAATTATCCTGAACACCTTATTCTCACAGTTTATTTCCCATCACGTCCTCTTACACTTGTCACCATCTATGTTCGCCCTGGTGAACCACTCCCTCATACTTTCTTCACCATATTCGATCGCCTCTTCCGCAGCTACGTTATTCTTGACGATATCAACTTTATAGCAGAACTGCTCCAATTCGTCCTGTCTCCAACACTGCTACAGTTGTCTTAATTGCATCTAGTCCAGTTTCTTCCCTACTGTTCGTTTCTTTACTTTGTCCTGCTGGCAGTGATCATCTACCCGTATGTGTTCCTACTGCTGATCGCTCCTATCCCGTGTTACCACCTTACCGACGTCTCCAATATAATTTCCATAAATCCGTCTGGAATGATTACAGGAAGCATTTTTATTTTCTACTTTCCGACCTTGACTCTACTACTGTTTCAAGTGTTGATGCCTTTTAACATACCCTGACATCAGCTCTTTCCTCTGCAGGTGCTCGTTCGATCCCCTCTTCGATATCGTGTACTTTTTGTCCCTCCGTACCCCAACGAGTCATCAGACGTCTTCGCCGTGCCTCCTCACTCCTCCAGGACTATCGCAATTCTCATAATCCACTTGTTTTACACCAATCCAGAGGTCTCCAATGCACAGCCTGAAATTTCATTCAAGCTATTAAACGTCGCCGTTGGCGTTACCTGTGCAACAGACTTCATCATTTCCCTTCCTACCCTCAGTTTTGGACTTAGTTTTGCATCCTCACTGGCCAGTATCACTTCCCTTCCTATCTTATACTTGTGGGTGGTCAGGTTCCTGCTTCCACGCTCCTCAAGACCAATGCTTTTGCACACCACTTTGAGTCGCAGTTTCTTCATCCATCACTACATCCCCTTGACTTTGGTGATTGCTCCAACATCTTGCGACTGTCTGATCATACTTCTCCGACTCTTCACCCTCTCTCACCCATGTTCTGGAAACCACCCTCCTGTGTGGTCCAATTACTGCTCATAATGTCCGACTTGCCTTACTCATCGTCGCAACTCAGCCCCCGGTCCAGATGGTCTCACCTATTATGAGCTCAGTTTATTATCCTATTGATCTTATTCTACAGTTTTCTACTTCGCACAGGTTTCTTCACTACCGCTTGGAAGTTATCACCCATTCTTCTTTTCCTGAAACCATCCAAGCCACCAGTTCACATAAATTCCTACAGGCCCATCAGTTTAACCAGTGTCCTCAGCAATACTTTGAAACGGATCCTTGTTCGTCGTCTTCACTCTTTAATTGCAGACAGTCAGTTACTTCCACATATCCAGGCAGGTTTCCGCCCTCATTTCTCGACTGCAGATCAGTTCCTCAAGCTCTTCGATTTAATTTGCAAACCACTTCAACACTTTTAAACCTTCATACCTCGTTATATTTGACTTTGAAAGAGCCTTTGATTCTGTTTGACACCAGAGGCTGATCTACAAATTTCAACGCCTGTCTATTCCTGCTTCCTACATTAGATTTATATTTTTTTCTTTCTCCGGGATCGCCGAGCTACCATTTCCATCCATGGTATTCATTCTCGTCCATTCTCCATACGTGCTGGCGTTCCACAGGAATCTATAATTTCTCCTCTACTGTACATCCTGTATGTTGTTGACATACCAGTTCCTCGACCTCCATTTTATCTCTTTCAATACGCCGATGACACAGCTCTCCTTTCCCTTTGTTTTACAATGGTCACCCTCAACAAAGTCCTGCAGTAAGCAGTCAACTCATTTATTTTCAGGTGCAGACACTGGAGGCTTGCCCTTCACCCTCACTAAACCAAAGCTATTCTCTTTGGCCCGACTAGCCACAAATTTCTTCAATGCCGCAGTCCACTGCTCTTCGATGTCCGAGTTGACAACATTCCTATTTCCCTATCAAATACAGTTAAATATTCTGGAGTTACCTTTGATCGCCATATCACCCGGAAAGCACACCTGACCATACTACACTCGAAGGTTAATTCCAGGCTTCATTTACTTCGCCGTCTCCGTGGTTCATCCTGGGGTTTGAATCCCCAACTCCATTTATATTCCTACCAAGCTTTGGTCCGACCCTGCCTCACCTATGGTCTTGTTGCCTGGATCTCTGCTCCATCTTCACTCTATCATCGGCTGGAAGTTTTGGAACGCCATGTTTTACGCATAGCCTCTCAATTACGTCGTTCCAGTTCTACACAGGAATTGTACTCTCTCATCTCCTCCCCCCCCATACTACACCTACGCACACCTACGCGAACTACGAATGAAGTATTTTCGCCACTGCTTCGATCTTCACAACCCTATCTTCGACGAAATCGTATCCTATTCGGTGAATACCCTTTGCAAGGTCTTACCTCTGACGGATCATCTCCTGAACCTCTACCTTATATCTTTGCCACCTGACTACATCCAGACTACAATGCAACTCCAATGCCAGATCTTCCACCACACATCTATCTCTGATTACGTTTCCTAATAGCGTGCATTAAGCTCGTCCTCACCATCTCAGTACCTGGTCTCACTTACTCATCTCTAGTTGCTTATTTCCACTGTGTACTTCTAAATCTCCTGTCCACTGAGAGGGCGTAACCCTCTGATGACCCGCGCGCCTTCTGCACTGGAATGTAATGTCGTAAAAAAAAACACAGATAAGATAACCCAAAGATAGTTAAATAAATTTAGAAAATAGCGTTCCTAGAACATTGATGGATATTTGAATAAATGGAGGTTTCCTCAGTGCAAATATTTCTTAGTTTTTTCTTTCGAAATTGAATTAGGTTTGAATTTCATCCATAAGTTCGAAAAATAGAATATATTCAACTATGTTGGTACAACCTTGCCTATTCTAAGGCTATTTCCTCGAACTTTCATACCAATGGTTAAATTCAAATCAACAAAGTTTAATTATGAATCACAGGGTTTCTGTAACTGCGCTATTCATTTCTAAAATCTGTTAAATCCTAATCAAAAACAGAACGCTTTGTGAAATAATACATCAATAACATTTCTGTTTTATCTTCATGCAATCAATAAACTGAAATCGTTCTGCTTGAAACATTTCACTTAACGTAAATCGTACTTGGAAGGTTTGATTATTACTTCAATTCGTGTTTTACATGCCCACAAGGTATGCGGCTCAGTACAAAATTAACGTTAGTTTTATTCAATCGACAAAAAAAGATATTACATTTGTCGAAACATCCTGCTATGGAAAATTATTTATTTAAAAAGTATGCAAGTTGGAATAGCCTTATATTAGAGCCTTCATATATGTTAAATTCGAGGCAGTTTTGAAACTATCGTAGCTTGAAAAGGCAATTTGTTTAGGTGACCTTCGAGGTTGGCTTAGTTTATACCGTCACAGGATCAGAGAACCCAATTAAGTCAGTTAAACTAGTTTCATAATTTTAATGCATTTGTTTTACCAAGCATTAATTATTTATGTGTAAGGAAATAGAATATTGTTAAAGGGGGAACAAATATTTACTCGAACATATTAATTGAATATATTAATTAATTAATTCATAGGGATAGATAATTGGAAATAATTTCATAATGTGTATATATATATATATATAAACATTTATTATGTTATTGAAAGAATATTCATGCCTATCGGGTAGAGATAGATAAAAAAGGATAGTCAAATGATCAAGAGAATTGTGTAACTGTAAAAGCAAGCAAAGTTTGGTGAAAGAAACTCGTACGAATATACTGCCTTATATTAAAATGTGAGCTTATTAAAGAAGAGAACAAGGCATTATCTACTAGTGTTTATCGTGTAGTGATACACATTGGAGGATCAATTGTTGTAACCGTAATATTCTGGTACACTCTTTAAATTTTCAGCTAAAGATGCGTTATAAAAGTGACAGGCAAAAGTAGCTGCGTAGGTGGCGGGTGCTTATGACTGGTGTCCTCCCTCCCGTCAACAATTCTAAATTAAGAATGACTATACCTGAACTTGGGGTTTCTGACCTGGCTGATTTAGCCCATGTGTTGGATAAGAGGTCCTTTAGGTTGAAACTACCAATTACCATTAAAGAAAACGTTACATCAGACAATGTTAAACAGAGCAAAGACAGAGAAAGTAAACATACACACACATTAGTTTTATGAAATATTTTACTTCAGAGATCAACGAAGACGTTCATCTGTAACAATGAAAAACGTTTAAACAGAGAATTTCCAGACATTTGAAGAAGAAAGAGCAGATAGAGACTAATGTTTTACTTTTTTATATATAACTTTAGAATAAAGCAATTACAGTTTTTTTTTCTCTCTACGGCTGGCTAGAATTCCTGATATCTTCCAAGAGGCAACTATAAATTAGTTTCCAAGTACTGTGAAGATCTCAGGAACTTAATATAGGGCTGAAGCCATTTAACTAAAGTTAACAATTAAATAATATATCAGACGAGAGAAAGCTTACATTCCTTCTTTTTTTTTCTTTGTTTAATAGAAATCTAGAAAGTATTATGCCTACATGTAAGTAGTTATGTGGGCGTGCATGT